TATGGAAGCAAGGAGATACTGAGTTTGAGAAACTTAAACTCAAGACACCTGTAGACACCTGTAGAATTATCTAAATGGAGAGATCTGGCAGGCGGTAGGATATACAGGTCTGGTGCTTACAAGATAGAGTTGGCCTGGCGCTATGTTTGTATAGTTGAAGCCACTGCAGTGAAAGAAACAGATAACCGCAATATGAGAAGAAAAGAAAGACAAAGACAGAATTCAATGAAACACTAGTATTTTAGGGACCTGTAATAGGCGATGAAGACGACAGCAAAGTGGGCAGAAATAAGAGGCCAGAGCTATTTTACTGCAGAACCCAGGGAGTCCAGTGTTTCAAGATAGAGGGAAATGTTAAATGTCAGATTTTGAAAATGGCAAGAATGTGAAACAATTTATTGTGTTGACTACTAAGAGGTCACTAGTGAAAGCACAGGAGGTTGGCAAATTATAAGGGTGCCGAAGAATAAGTCGTAGAAGAGGGAGAGGAGACCTTGAATGAACACTGCTCTTTCAAGAACTATGGTTTAAGGGAAGGAGAGGAAAGTTGTTTCCCTTGATTTTTCCTTTTCTTTTAAATATGGGAGACATGAGCATTTCTGCAACCCTAATCATCTGTTTGGTCCATCTGCCAGGTTTCAGAGAACAGAACTGTAAGCAGGCAAGGTGATGAGTCAGTACAAGGTAAAACGAACGGAGGGGAAGGTCAAGAGATGACTTCAGAAGAGTGGGTGGGAGAAAAGACAGGCTGTAAGGAGCATGAAATTGTTCTATGTCCAGTCTCAACTAAATATAGAATTGTGAGATTTTAATTTCCTCCCCAAGATAACTTATGACTGATATTTATCAGTCATATTCAGTTAATAAATACGTTCACTGGTAACATAAAACTGAGTTTTCTGGAGAACTTTCTGATACAGTATGTAGGAATTATATTTTATCTATATTGTATTTATTCTACTTTGTAGTAGAAATATAGCCAAAATCTTGCTTGACATTGAATTAAAAATTGATTGTTGATATACTGAAAATAATCTGGTAAGCCAAAGTAACATGGTCAAGATTATGAAAGATATTTTGATAATAAATAACATAAATAAATGCTCTCAGGGCAAATACTATTAACAGTGTTAGGGAGGAAGTAGAAAGAACACAAAAACTTTAAAATATTTTACATTGTCTCCAATACTTAAAGAATACCAAAGATCCTCTTCAATATTTGAAGATAGAAATATAAGATATGAGTCAGAGAGTAAGAGAGTATTTCATGTTAATTTTGAAACACTCCCTCCCAATAATACCACCAAACTTCCTCAGCATATGGACTCTGTTTCCAAAACAGACTAGCAATTATTGTTCATTAAATTCATTGGGGATGTTATTCCACTAGTTATCGTGAGTTTTAGATATTAAAAATGTCATTTAAGTATATTTGTATAGCACTTTAGAGGTTGGAAGATGCTTTTACTATCTGTTAAATTTAATCTCCTGGTTATTATATAGGAAATGATCATTAAGTGTGAATTTTAAATAAGGTAATACATGGAAAATATATTAGAGATTGAATTTACACCTCATAAAGGCAAATAATCCTATATCCCCTTCCAACATACTGCATAATTTATTTTGTTGTCCTTTCCCTCCTCTCATGTAAGCTTCACAGCGGCGGCGATGTATGTTTGTTTTGTTAACTGCCTTATCCTCAGCTGCCAGTACAATTTCTGGCACATAGCAGTTGCTCAGTTAATATTTACTGAATGAGTGTGTTTAAAAATTGCTATGGATGGACATTGAGGGTATAATGCAAAGTGAAATAAGTCAGAGGGAGAAGGTCAAATACCGTATGATTTCCTTCATTAAGTAGTAGATAATAACAACAATAAACAAACACATAGGGACAGAGATTGGATTGGTGGTTACCAGAGGGGAAGGGGGGAGGGAGGAGGGTGAAAGGGATAATTCGGCACATGTGTGTGGTGATGGGTTGTAATTAGTATTTTGGTGGTGAACACGATGTAATCTATGCAGAAATAGAAGTACAATGATGTACACCTGAAATTTTTACAATGTCATGAACCAATGTTACTACAATAAACAAAAAAATAAAAAAATAAAAATTTGCTATGGACTCAACCACATATAGCTTTAATTCTGAGATTTAGATTTTGATGGGTACATACAAATCATTATTTTGCCTTACTCATATACAGTTGAGACAGTAATGGCAAAAAGCAACCAGAAATAGATACACTAGCTTAAAATTCTTTGTAAACGAACAATGTTACCTTGTTACAAACTAAACCCAAGGCTCAGTGTTTAATGGGTTTATTCTCCATATCAAAATCCTAACAGATGATGTGCCAAATTGGATGACAGTAATTTAAATCCACTCTAACTAGAACTATAGTTGATAACATTTTGGTAATTCTGCAGTTAGCCACTTTGATTTCAACCACATATTTTTCATGTATTACCTTATTTGGAATTCTGAAATGAACACTAATGTTCATTTCCTATATAATGTGGAGATTAAATATAAGGTGCTGTAAAAGCACCTTCCAACCTCTAAGGTGCTAACAAACGTAAAGTTATGTTGTCTTTGTATTATATTCAGTAACAGACATTGGAAAAGTTTCTTACGTTTTTTATTAGAATGTAAACAGAGGGACAATATTTCTAAATACATTCTAAACATTTCTAAAATATTCTACTGATGTAGTGAAGTTTAACGCTCATTATTTTCTAAACTCAGAAACTAGAAAATCCACTTCATAAACCACCTGTTTCTTTCTCTCTTTCTAGAGAGTGCCCCAGGATCAGCTACAGAGGCTGATGAACAAAAGGGAGACAGTGTGCAATTCTAGCACTGGTGCTGACATTTTCACTTGTGTTTACACTGGCTGCCTCCACTTACTCAGAACCCTATTCCCTCTTGAGAGAAACAAAAGTCAGGATAAGTATGTTAGCCTCCATTACCTGGATGGTTGGAAGGACAGAGAGCAGTGTTAGAACCGCTGCCCCATTCTTAGCTGACATCTGCATAATTCTGTAGCAAACGTCAGTCTGCAGCTCTACCAGCTTGTTCTTCCTGGGCAGAAACAGGCAAGACTGTCATGGGTGTGTCCCTTATCTTCCTAGGTCTTCTCTCCTCTGTGATCATCATCAATCCAATCCAAGAGTTCTAAAAACCATATTTTCTTGACAGATTATTATTTGTTTAGATTACAATCTATACAGATTGCATTATCCCACTCTCTTGAGTCATCAGAAATGTGTATTTTTTGGATATTCCACCGAATGTGTATTAATCAAATAATATCATGGGTAGAAATTATTTTCAAAAATTAAGCATCTATTGGGACCCATATTTTGTCCCTTACTTGAATATTCTCATTTGTGTAATTCATCTCTAACTTTGTCTAAAAGCTTCTTAATATCTCCTAAATTCTTATTTAAGAGTCCATGTAATTTTCTTTGGAAGCAGAAATGATTTAGACATTTGGGCTTTCAGGAATCAGAGACCTTGGGTTTGAACTTCTAAGCTGTGTGGTTTTGGACTAGTTACCCAGACTCTCTGCTCACTTCCCTTATTCGTCAAATCAGGATAACACAGCACCTATCTCACATAGTTGTATTAAGAATGAAATAAAACAATGCATGTAAAGCACACAATACCTGACAAACAATACCTGACTACTGTTTAAAAAAGCCACTTATCAAAATGTGTAAATCCCTTACATATTTATTGACAGAGGAAGTAGCTTCTCCCAACTAGAGTGATATTTCATTTTTTTCAGACTAGAGGTATAAACCTATCTTTGTCTTCCTTCTTCTCAGGCCAGTATTACTTTGCATGTAATAGAAAAATTATCCTTATTTCTGGGCAGCTGATTTCTCTTTATCAGCTTTCCAGTAACAGTTATTATAAATTATTTCAATCACGAAAATTATATCCTTTTACTGAGAATAGATCATTTTGACCTAAGTATCAAAGATTTTCAATCTAAATTTGTTTCCATATATCTCATAAAACATTTCTTTTCATCTTTGTCAACACATTGGGATGAATGAATTATGACTGTGAACCAGAATGCCATTTTTATGTATTCTAACAAATCCTTTTTATTTATAATTATGATGTTCTTATTAATAAGATATTCTGGATTGTATATTCTGCTTCTTTGTTTTCAACTTTAAATCACTGATTTAAAGAACATACTTTTATCACTGATTTAAAATGCACTCAAGATCATCAGCTGCCTTGGGGTCATCATTATGAGCAAACATCACTACGCTGGTGTGTCCAGAATAACTGAGTGGCAGTGTGTAAAATGAATCTAGACTCTCCCATTCTAAACGCGGTCCTGTTAAAACTTCTTGCTCTGTGTTTGGAGAAAAATACTATTTCTGTTTTTCATCCTCCTGATTGAAAAAATACACTAGATATCACTGTTAGTATTACTGGCTACATTATATTTTTCTTTGAATATGATACAAAGCTCTTCTATTTGTAAGATTCATAAAACTTTTAGTAGACTCCAGAAAGATCTCGTGCAAGGGCAGAAAAAGAGCGTGGGCAAATTTAAGGGAAAAAACATAAAGAAAGACAGTTCTTTAAAGTCCCCTTAAGATTGATGGGTTTTTCACTCATCAATCAAATATTCGTTTATTACTCCCTGCCAGTCCTTGTGGTGCCGATTATATACTAGTAAATAAAACACTCTAATTCACATCCTTATGGAATTACAAATTTGGGGAGGAGAGCACATTAAACACACAAGCAAATAACTATAGTAACTAATTATAGAAAGTGCCATGAAGAAAAGGGTGCTATGAGGGAAAGAACAATGTGGTAGGCAGTGGTGGCAGGGAAGCAGTGGTGAAGGGCAGGGAGGACGGCTTCGAGAAGTAACTTGTTAGGAACGAGGGCAGGCAGGCTCTTCTGCGGAGCAACCCTGCATACGCTCTAGCTAGGCAGGTCAAGTCTAACTTCTCCATACTGCACTTCCAACCCTGGGATTTGGCTGCAGGGATGGAAGGGGAATTCACTTCCTTATTTTATTTATTTATTCATTCATTTTGAAAAGGTATGGGTAGGGTAGGAGTGATAGTTTAGCTTTAGACACATAGTTTGAAGTACTTATGGGCTATACAAGTGAAGATGTCTAAATATTAGTTGCATATATAGACATGTAGCTTGGGGGATGGGGGAAGGAGGCAGAGGAGGTCTGCTAGTTATCAGCATCTAAAAAGTCATGAAAGCCAAGACAGAGTGAGGATGGAAGGCTGAGAACACAGCATGCCAACATTTAAAAAAAAAAAAGGAGACTACAAAGAAGATTCGCAGGACTAATCAGAGGCATCAGGAAAACCAATGTATTAATTCCGTCATCATAGAGGGCCTACTAATGAAACTGTTAAAATATGGCAAAGGTCAAACAGAGAAATGTCCATTTCCCAGTGGTTACAACAACTCTGATATCAGAGACCTGATGTGGCCCCCTTCTGTGTTGCTTACTATGTATCTTTGGGACTTAGAGCAACTTTATTTGACTTCAGAGTCTTCCTTTAGCCACATATAAATAGGGATACTATTACTTACCCCTCAGTCCTGATGTGAGAGCTATGATAAATGCTTGGTAACACTTAAAAATCAGTTGGTAAAGTAAGGGTTTCCAACCTTCCTAGTCACTTCTACAGGCATTTTAGCTATACACTACATTGCTAAATAGGAGAAAATAAATATTATGGGCATATATCTCTAGCTGAATTGACAGAATAATACACATAAGTAACTTGCCTAAGTCTCAGTTAGTAAGTGGGGATTTGAATCCAGAAGGTCTGGCTCTGGAGTGTGTGCCCCGACCTGGAGTTTTTGGACTTAAGGGGCACAGAGTTAGGAACATGTGCCCCTAATCGCCATGCTTCAATTACTCTGCAGCTTCACTCCGAGCATCACGAGCAAACATACATCTGAGCTCCACTGCTTCTACTGCCAAGTGTTCTTGGAACAAAAGGCAACACCTGGAGTTCAGCCTCTTGAATCAGATTCTGCCACCATCATTTCAAGATTAAGAAACAAAAATACAAAATTGCTCTTACTAGTAACATCTGAGAACCAGTATGACACTATAAACTTAACTATCTTGCCAAAAAACCCAACTAGTAAGTGGCAGGGTCAAGATTCAAGGCCAGGTCTGAGTCCAGGGCCCACACACTTAATCACTAAGCAGAAGTGGAGCTGTGGCAGATGTGTCCAGCTGCAGAAAAGCACTCTTCTCTAAACGTACAGGAAGGTGGTAGTCTATCATGAACAGAGGCTGGGAGAAAAAAGGGAAGAGTTTTCCTAAGTTTATAATATCTAACTTGTTTAATCACACAAGTTTCTAACAGAATAAAAAAAACACTGCAGACCTCTTTATGAGCAGTAGCATTAATCATTACATTTTATGTACTGAGATGGGTCAGAAACTTGAAAATTCTTACAGCTTTCTGGTAACAAGTCCCCGTGAGATCTGGCTGTATGCCTATCCTCAGAATACAATCCCTCATTTTGCTAAAATCTCTTTCAGTTCAAACTCCAGGATTAGAAGACTCACCAGAGCATTACTTGTTGGTCTTAGGTGCAGCTCAAATAGTTTGTCTTCAAGTGGTATAATCTTTAATTACTAGAAAGGCCTCTCTGTGGCCGATTTTGTTAGTTGCCTACTCAATATCCTTTGTCCCTTTCTTTGTAAAACACTGATTTTATCTGGAGCAGCTTCTCTTGAATGGGCAGTGAAATGTGTAAGAAACTCTTAGGTGAGACTTCAGGAAAAGCTCCTTTTTAGATGCAGGACAGACTGTTGGCATGCACCTTGTGTCAGACGTCCTTTCTTTTGTCTGAGAATAAACAAGCAATGGCTGGAGTTCCAACAATCACCTTGGCTCATGAGATGGCCTTGAAGATGGGAAGCGTGTGTTAAGTAAGGTGGAATAGAAAAATAGGAGCAGGTGAGTCCTGATCATGGTGCTACCATACCAACTCCAGGCTCAACTTCTTTTTATACGAGAGAGAGAAATATCCATTCCATTTTATTTCATTATTATTTGGATTTCCTGTTACCTACAGCCAGACCTAATTCCTAATGGATATATCTTCCCAACTGAAATTTGTGTATGATCTAAATTTTAAACTCATCCTAGACTTTAGAATTATAAAGCTTAACAAAGTTAAAAGGAAGTAAAAGTTGGGAGTAACTAAAAAGAGGCCACCATAATTAGGACAGGGATAAGAATTTGGAACCTGGCTCCTCATACATGGGTGTTAGCTAAGTCAAAAGTCTTAATTACATGTAGTTAGCCTAGTTTCAATTACTTTTCTTTTAAAATATTCTATAACTTAAATTTATCACGAATTAAACCCACTTTCCACTTCCATCTCTCCCTGTTCCTGTCCAAATAATGAGGTTTTACTATCAGAGCCATTTTAAAAGTGTTTAAATTTATTTAAAGTGACATTAAAAGGCAGTTATGGAAAAGCAACCTTCCATCTGTATTTCCAAGTATAACAAAGATAGCCAAGCTAAAGTTCAAAAGTCACATTAGGATTTGTATTTAAAAGTGCTCTTTTAGTTAATACCAATGCACGATGTTTGCCACTGTGGGAAACCCAAGAGAGAGAGGCTAACGCCAGATTGAGTTAGCTACAGACAGCTTCCCTATCACAAGTGGTGGGCCTCTGTACTTAAGTGGAAAGATGCTGGCATGTCAGAAGCAGGAAAGAGGAAGAGTTGTTGACGGACTCTGAGTAGTAATAACCAGTCTTGACTTCCAAACTAAATCAAGGATTTAATAGTGAGATTCAGACTGCTCCCTGACTACCGACCGTTATGAACAGTGTTTCCGTCATACACAGAGAATCAAGGAAGAATGAGATTAAAAGTAAGCATTGTGTACACCAGTGCCTTAACCAACAGAAAACACCTAAAAATTTTTCTTGTTGGAAAGATTACTAAGGATCTGAATTTGGAACTTCTAGAAAAGTTCCTGGAAAGTTCAACAAATAAGGGGAGAACGAAATCTGAGATGGACTAATAAACATTAGTAATGCTTACTAATCAACTAGCAAGATCAACTTAAACTGAAAACTTAGCTTGGCATAAGAATGGACGCAGTCTTATAAAAAAGTATATCTACATAGAAAAGAAAGAAAATCAAGTATTAAAGAAAGGTAGAAATGCCCTAAGAATTATTTGCACAGTATTTTGGAACAAAATGAAAACAGTATGAACTAACAGATCAGAGGCCTGGGATCTTTGTCCCCTCTACTTTCATTTTTCTGACTTGGTTACATTACAATCAACTTTCACTCCTGGCTTCAGATCACCCTGGGCTACCTTCCTTCTAGCCTCAATAGTTTTGGGAATGGTAGTAATCTGGTCACTAAATAACTTTAGAGATTTTAGCACAATGAACTATTATGCTTATTAGAGTATTTGATCATACATGCATAAAAAAGTTTACAGTGTCTTCGGACCAAGGATAGACCATAAGTAATAGGAAGTTTATTTGTCTCCTAAGCCAGCAAGTAGACAAGTTATTCTAATGGTGAATTATAGGTACAAAAAAAAAAAAAATCAATCTTGTGAACATTTTAAAAGATCTGAGTCCTCCAAGTACATTTCTTAGGTCCTTGAAGTATATCACCTATGGCTTGGAAGTATATAAAAACATAGCTACCCTTTTACTTTTAATTACTATCAAGTCACAGAAAAAAGGCAACTTACAACCATGCTCAGAATACTAATCTCTCTGACAAGATTAGACTGTCTTTTGTTATCCTCTTTCTTCTTTTGTCTTCATTTTATAAATATGTGCATGCACACAGCTTTTAAACAAGAAGCCACTTGATTAGACCAGTTTTGAGTCGACGTAATCAACAATCCCAAAGGTGTAAAATATTTTTGTTTACTACAAATGTGTGGACTCAAAACTAGCCAAATTCTTATCATTCCTCGACAGAATTTTTAACTAGCCTCTTGGCAGAGTAAAACACAGAATGCTTTAGAACAAATTTAGCAATTAGTAAACTACGAAACCTGGCAACAGCAACATTACCATACTACAATAAAGTTATACCAAACTAGTCAAGTTAAATGTTGTATTTTTTAAAATCCCTCTTACATTATAACATTTATTGACTGGCATTGTGCTGAGAACTTGGTAGGAAAAAGAAAACTTCAAAAACACTTAAAAAAAAGTTTACTGACATAGACAAAAAAACATACCTTGTTATTTTTCAGGTATTTGATTACTTTATTATCAGTTTTTTTCATTGATTTTTAAAAACCTGTATAGTGATATAAAAAATGAAATTTTGTGGAATTCAGTGTTCTTATTTCCTTCCTTTTTTCCTACAATAATCTTATGATATTAAATCAAAATGGTTATAATGCACCATATTGTCACTGTAGTAAATATGAAAATGTATATATTCGCGAGAACTGACATCAGACAAATTGAGAAGAAATTTAAATTCTAAAATAATTTCTCTCACATAGGTTTAATTGGCATTTTGAAATATACAACCTTAAGCATATACAGAGTATAAAATTCAAATTGAGAATTGTTTTTGTCTGTTAAAGATAACTATTATCTCAACAACATAGGACTTATGTCATGCTTACACATCGAGATAGATGTTATCAGAGATGAAATATTTATAAAGATGGTACCTAAGGAATATCTGTATATTCTCTACATAATAATTGAGAACTAGTTAAAAGGCACATTAAAAAGAAGGCTAGAGGGCCGGCCCCGTGGCTTGGTGGTTAAGTGCGTGCGCTCCGCTGCCGGCGGCCCGGGTTCGGATCCCGGGTGCGCACCGAGGCACCACTCCTCCAGCCATGCTGAGGCCGCGTCCCACATACAGCAACTAGAAGGATGTGCAGCTATGACAGACAACTATGTACTGGGGCTTTGGGGAAAAATAAATAAAAAAAAAAAAAAAAAAAAAAAGGCTAGAAAAGCAACTATGAAAGTTTAGGTTTCTGTGGAAAAATTCTATCACAGCATGAACACCACTAATAATGATTTAGCAGGAAGCACTGGTTAGAAAAAGTTGAGTGACCTAATAGCAAGGATAGACAATTAGGATTCAGGAAAACAAGTTTCTAATATTAGCTCTAACAATTAAAACAACAACTGACAGTAGATCAATGGAATTGAGATCATATATACTAGAACCAGATCGCCAGGCCTCAAAGCCAGCACTGTCAATTACTGCTGTGCAACTTCAAAGTGCTTTTCTTAGGTCTTGGAGGTTAGCTTCCATTACCTTTAAAATGGATAACAGTAGCCATCCCAGAGCTATTTTGAGTTAAATCAGAAAATCCACACAAGGTGCTTAGTACAGTGCCTGGCACAGAAGTGCTCACAGTAAATGCCTGGCACATAACAACAGTTCCCCATCACCACTGGAGCAACCGTTAGCAGTCCTACTATCCGGCCTTCAATGTAAAAAAAAAAAAAAAAAAGGTTTGGGCTGGATCATTTCTAATGCCTTTGCCCATCTAAAATTAAAATCTACAATGTAAAAGAATATACAGGACCAACTATTTCCAAAGAACATACATTTAGTTAGATCTTTCACTCTAATGTGATTAAGGACATGGTAATTTAAATGTCACAGAAGAATCATATTTCTAAATCATCCCTTTGAAATTAGTTATAATTACTACATTTATTAAAGCCAAAGTTATATGTATTCTCTGTAACCCACAGGAAATCCATGATCTTCAATCAATTACCATGTTCAGAAAGTATATAATGGCAAAACTGTCATAACCAATATGATCTTAAATGGAAGATGAATGTCCTATAGTAATTAACTCCATTATGTCTTTAGTAGTCTACTCACGGCTATTATTTTGACTTTGACTATAGAATATCTAAACATATTAATTTGGTGCCTACAACAATTTCTGAAAAACAAGTCCTAATAGGAACCTCAAGGTAGATAATCCTAATTTTTTTTTTCACTATAAGAACATTTCATATCTCCTACTTAATAAATAAAAAAACATATTGAAATTTTTCAAATATACAATCCAGGAAAAAGAATGAAATACTGTTTTGAAACTGTCCAAAATCTAAAAGTCTAACAAAAAATCTCTACTGATATGTTATAATTCAAAATTCAAAAGAAAGGCAAACTTTATTGCAGGAATATTAAGATTCTTTTTAGTTTGACTCATATTTTCTAAAAAAATCAGAGTTTTTATCATGACAACGTCAAGATTAAAGAAACATATCCTACGTGTTTCCTGGGGGCAAACTAATGATATCCACAGACACATTAATGTACAGTTACCTACACCAATCCAAACCAATCCATTCAATAACAGAGATTTTTAAAAATATTCGAAGAACTCTTTTTCATATACTCTGAGATACTATTAAGAAATTTAAAAAATCTTAGTTTTTAAAAATTATAAAAGAGGTGTGTGATCACTGAAAAGAGGTCATCTAAAACTTAAAAACATTTTTCCAAATAATAAGGTAACACTGAGGAAAAGAGTTCCAGCTCACCTCAGTCAGGTACTGGCGTTGGTAGGCCAAAAGAAGAGAATACATTTGTCCGTCAATGTAAATGTTTGGTTACCTTAGTTCTTAACATGAAAAAAACAAAACCATACACACACACAAATGTCTGTTACAATCTGACAACTTAATAAGCTCTCAAACCAGAAGCTACATGTTTACCAGTCAATACTCATACCTCAATTTTATATTAGCAAAACTGGGGTTAGTACTGTGGGAGTTAAAAAAGATTTCTCTTAAATTCATAGCTGTGCTAACTTCAGCTTCGTTTCCAGAAATGCTTATTTTTGACAGATCTTCACACTTCATATTTGGCACAATTTCCAATCATTCAAGAAATTTTAGTTTTACCTTATAAAAGTAAAGTAGTTGTGTAAGTTCATGCATGACATGAATCCATACTATGTCCTTACCTTCAATATTTAGCTCAAAACAAACGTGGCAGAAGGAGAGTGTTTCCTCGTCTGTTCCCAGTTTACAAACACTGCAAATGTTGTCATCATTCAAATCAATGTTTACAAACTGCTCCTCTTCGGTCATAGTGCCCCTATTAAGAAACAGAAAAGGAAAGTGATGCAATTCCAATAACTTGCCATGACGGCAATATCAGGAACTTCTAGGAAAAGAGAAAGATGCTCTTCAGCTGATCTAATGCAACAGCCCCCTCAAACAAGCATCGCCATACTAGTACTTCAATAGCATACTTTGTACCAAGACACAAAGCTAGTAACACTTAAAGCCTAGCCACAAGTGACACTACGCCCTTTTTTTGGTTCTATATTTCATCGGGTTGAGGGGATCAGAAGGGAAGCAGTTTGCGGGTGTTCCAGTCCGCCCCCCACCTCCGACCAGGCACAGAAAGAGCTTAGCAGCGAGGCCATTTCAGCCGCCGGGGTCTGTCAACCTACTGAACGCTGCTAAATGCAGGAAGAACGACCTGCTAGGGACACCGCTTTGCTAACTCCACTGTGGGAACCTTAGGTGCGTTTCGCTAACTCGGCGGAGCGAGGTTTCCCATCCGAGATCGGCGGCAGGAAAACGCACGTGGGACAGCGAACCCCCGGGGAGCGCGTCCCAGCCGCGGCCACAGCGCCCGCAGCGAAGGCCTGGCAGCGGCTCCACCGCGCGGGTCGGGCACGGCCGGAGACGGGGCGGCCAAGCACAGCCGGCGTCCCGAAGCACGGCCGGCGGAGCGCCGCGCCCCCTCGCCCCAGGCTCCCTCCCACTCAGAGCGAACGCGTCCGCGGGCCACGGCAGCCAGTCCCCTCGGACCCGGCGCCTGGGGGCCGCCCGGCCGCCCCGTCTCCGGGGTTGGGGGCGCGCCCCGCCCCTCAGGGTGCCGCGAACCTGGGTCCGTCTCTCCGTCCGTCCGTCGGAGCGCCCCGCGCGGAGGAGCGCGAGGAGCCGCAGGACTCAGAGCGCAGAGGCGGCAGGACGGCGGGGCCGGGGGCCGGGGCGCAGGCGGGTCGGGGACAGGGGCGCGGGGTCTTTACCGTCCGCCTCCGCGCGCCGCCACAACCGTTCCGCGCGGCTCCGGCTTCTCCACTATTGTTTCCGGCCGCAGCGGAGGCGGCCGCCGCGCGCCCGGCCCCGCCCTCTCCCGCCGGTGCCATCCGGTGAAGGCTCCGAGGGGGGTGGCGCGGCTGAGGGCACAGCTGCGCGCTCGCACGGCGGCTGCGGGCCCGCCTCTCTCCTCGCGCCCCGACGCCGCGTCCTTGACTCGTCTTTTCGCGTGATGCCGCGGCTCTTGGCCCCGGTCTCTTCAGCTTCTCTGGAACCTGGCTCCTCATACCCCCCTCTTAGAGGCACAAAGATAGACGAGTCCGTTACCACCTCCCCCTTCAGCGTAGTGGAAACTCCGGTCCCGGGGCGGGGGCCGCAGGGAGCGGGGGCAGAAGTGACGAGTGGATGGGAGAGAGGGATACAGATGCGTGGAGAGGACTTTGTTTGAAATCAGTAGACGGAAGCAAAGTAGTATCACTGAACTTCACGTTAGGTGCCAGTTGAAGTATTTAATGAGTGAAAAGCTCATGTTTCAAGTTGCATAATTTAGAGGTGATTTTAAGTACAGAAGCTTATTTTTTACAGATTATTTTTAAAATGGGGCGGCCCTCCCCTATAATATGGCACATTCCTTGCACGCCCAAAGGGATCATCCCGAAGCCCCACCTCTTATTTTAGGTCCCGCCCCTTTTAAAGACGGGTACTTAAGGTCTTGTTTTGACCCCCTTGCTTGACGTTTTAAGCGGTTGTTTTTTTTTTAGGTTATAGTTCAAGCAATACTTTCGCTTACATTTTCTATTGTAATCGTCACAACAGCCTAGAGAGAAGAAACGGAAGCACTTCTCTCGTTTTGCAGTTTTGGAGTGACTAACCCAGATGATCAATTGGTGAGAAACAGAGTTGGGACTTGAACCTAAGGATACTGATGTAAAATTACACTCATTTTCCAGAGCATCATAAACACCTGTACTGGTTACATTCACAAATAGAATGTAACTGATGGTGGGAATGGATTCCACAGATCTTGGGAACTTCTAGACCAAATTGGCACTTGATATAAACCGTCAATACCTGAGAAAAGTGATCTGTGTTCTGGCTACTCGAAGCGTAGTAGATGAACCAGCAACATCGACATCACCTGGTATCTTGTTAGAAATGTAGAATATCAAGTCTCAGCTAAGACTTCCTGAATCAGAAGCAGCATTTTAACACGACCTCCAGGTGATTCCTATGCACATTAAAGTCTGAGAAGCACTAACTGAAATAGTAAAATCTAAGTGTTTTCTGTTTGAATTTCTCATCCTAGGTAAATATGACTAAAATGTCTTGCATCCTGTATTCAAACCATCTTTTCAATAAAAATGCTTTCTAAAATCACTAACAATTTCCTTCTAGCAGAAAAGTTAGTTTCACTTCACAGTTATCTCTCTTTCTGTGGCATTTTACCCTATTACCTAACTTTAAAACTCTCTCTCCCCAACCTTTTTTTTAAGTCAACATATTGAGATATGACTTACAGAATTAAAATTTTTCCATTTTAAAAGTATAGTCGATGAATTTTGACAAACACATACACTTGTGTAACCACCACCCCAATCAAGATATGGAACATTTCCACAACCCCCAAATTCTCTTATGCTTCGTCCCCCAACATCTGATATAATTTGTATCACTAAAGGCAAGTTCTAAAACTTGATATATGTGAAATCAAACAGTATGTATTCTTTTGTGATTGGCTGCTTTCATTCAGGCAATCATTTCTTTCATGTTTTTGAGATTTACCATGATATTTTGTAACAGTAGTTCCTTTCTATTGCCAAATAACGTTTCATGATTTGTTTATCCATTTAGTTATTGATGAACACTTGAGTTATTTCTAGTTTGGGGACTATTATCGTAAAGATGCTATGCATATTTGTGTAAAAGTCTTTCTGTGACTTATGTTTTCTTTCTGTTAGGTAAATACCTAGGAGTGGAATTGCTGAGTCACATGGTAAGTGCACATTTACTTTTAAAAGAAATTGGCAAACTGCTTTCCCAAGTGGTTATACCATTTTACACAGTTAGGACTGTTATGTCTTCTTGATGGACTGACCCTTTTATCAATATACAACTTTTCTTTTTATCTCTAGTAATATTTCTTCTCCTGAAATTTACTTTCTCCAATATTAATATAGCCACGCCTGCTTTATTATGATGTTTCCATGTGTATCTTCCCCCTCTTTTTATTTTTACCCTCTCTTTGTCTTTATATTAATATGTATTTTTTGTAGACAATGTAGTTGTGTCTTGCTTTTTTAATCCAGTCTGACAATCTCTGTATTTTAATTGGTGTGTTTAATCCATTTATATTTAACATAATTATTGATATCGTTGAGTTTGAGTCTACCATCTTGCTATTTGTTTTCTATTTGTCTTGTATGCTCTTTGTTCCTTTTCCCTCTTTTTATGTCTTCTTTAGAGTAGTTGAGGATTTTTTTTGTTTGTTTTTTGTTTAGTATTTTGTCTCCTCATTTTATCTCCTCCATTAGCTACAGTTTATATATGTACATATGTATAGATGAATGGCTATATTTATGTATTTTGGGGCTGCAAAATATCTGGGGTTTAGTAGATTCATCTTTAACTTCTCACAATCTACCTGATATACATTTCATGTAAAATATAAGAAGCCTGCGATAATATATTTCAATCAATTGATATATATTTCTCCACTCTGATCATTTATTATTGTTATATATTTTACTTCACAAGTGTCATGTACTCCAAATACATTATTTTTTTCCTTCATCAACTATATTTTAAATAAATTTACAAAGAGAATAAAATGTCTTTTATATTTACCCACATATTTACCAATTCCAGTGTTCTTCCTTCCTTTGTGTATATCCAGATTTCATCTGGTATCATTTTCCTTCACCTGAAGAACTCTCTTTATTATTTTTTGTAATGATGCTCTGCTGGTAGCAATTTCTTTCAGCTACTGTTTGTCTGAAAATGTCTTTATTTCACTTTCAGTTTTGAAGGAATCATTCTGTAGATATAGAATTCTAGGATGATAGATTTTTTTTCTTTCAGCTTTTAAAAGATGTTGTTCCATGTTCTTTGAGATTGCAGTGTTTCTGAGGAGAAGTTAGCAATGTTTCTTAATCTTTTCCGTTGTATATGATGTGTCTTTTTCCCTGCTTCTACGTGCTTTAAGATTTTCTCTTAATTGTTGCTTTAGCCAATTTGATTATGATGTGTGTTGGTTGATTTTCCTGTGTTTATCATGCATGGGGCTTGTTGAACTTCATGAATATGGGTTGATATTTTTCATCAAATATAGAAAAAATTTGTTTAATCTTCTCTGATATTTTGGGATTGCAATTACACGTATGATAGATTGAGTGATATTATCCCAGAGATCACTAAGGCTGTGTTCATTTTGTTCTTCAACATTTTCTCTCTGTATTTTAGTTTTTATAGTTTCTTTTGACAAGTCTTCAGGTTTACTGATCTTTTCTTCTTCAGTGTCTAACCTGTTCTTATGTTTGTTCAGTGAAAATTTCACTTCAGATAATGTATTTTCAACAAAAGAAATTCCATTTGGTTTTCTTTGATAGTTTCCATTTATTTCCTCAGTGTCTTCATGTTTTTTTTTAAAACATTGGATATGTTTATAATAGCTATTTTAAAATTCTTATCTGCTAATTCCGTTATCTCTGTTATTGCTGCCTGTTTCTATTAACAGACTTTTTTTCACTCCTAGATATGAGTCATATTTTCCTGCTTCTTATCTGATATGCTTTGATTGGATGCTGAGCATTGTAAATTTGACATTGTTGAGTAGGGTAGGCAGAGGAGCTCCCCAATGATGTTTACACCCTAATCCCTGGATCCTGTACATATGTATGTAACATAGCAAAAGGGACTTTGGAGATATAATTACGATTATGGGCTTTGAGATAGGAACATTATCCTGGATTATCAGGGTGAGCTCAATCTAATCACATAAACCCTTAAAAGCAAAGAACTTTCTCCAACTAAAGTCAGAGAGATGCAGCAGAAGGGGAAGTCGAAGTGGTTGGAAGCATGAGAGGGACTTGAGCCACTCATTGCTCTAGGAGCAAAGACTTGGACCCTGGCTGACAGCCAACGAGGAAATGGAGATGTCACTCCTAAAACTGCAAGGAACTGAATTCAGCCAACAAACTGAATGGGGTTGGAAGTTCATTCCAACACCCTCCCAACACGTTGATTTCAGCCTTGAAACAGAGGATTCAACTGAATTATGCTGTGCTTGGACTTCTTACCTACAGAACTGTGAGATAATAAATGGATATGGTTTTAAGCCATTAAATTTGTGTTAATTTGTTACGGCAGCGTTACCAAAGTAATAAATCGAATGTCTGGATTTTTAAAGAGTGTTGGGCTTTGTTTAGGAAGGCTGTTATTCTAGTAGTGGGTCAGCTTGGTCTTTTTGAGGCTTGTTTTTAAATTCCGTTTGTGCGAGTCTAGACTATCCTTTGTTATAAGGATTTTCTAGTCCTCTCTTAAGGAGTGGCTTAGGCTTTCTATTATATGTCACAGGTCTTCAGTGAAGTTTCTATTCTCTAGTTGGATAAAACTCAAATGACTCCTTTCCTTGTGAGTCCCAGTAGTTTTTTAGTTTACACTTCCTCGGTAACTCTTCTTTCTCTGGTAGTTAATTTTTGCCCAGCCTCTTGGAATCTCACCCCCCCCACACACACATACATAGCTTCGTATTCAGGCAAAGACTTAAAGAGTATTCTGAAACTCTTTCCATGTATGGTTCTTCCTTTCTAGCACTCTTTACTGCAAATTCCAGACTTCTCATACTCCCTAAACTCAATTTTTGTCTCCTCAACCCATCTTTGCTTGGCTCTCCCTATGTGGAGCATGGTCTGAAAGTACCTCCAGGTAAAAGACCGGGGCAATTATAGGGTTTACCTCATTTGTTTCCTTTCTCTTTGGGATCACATTTTTGCTCTGCCTATGTCCCAGTATCTGAAAATAGATATTTCATGTATTTTGCCCTGTTTCCTAACTTTTAACAGCTATT